TGGAATTCGATATAAGCGTAAGCCTTATAGCACCACTGTCCGGGCAAAATTTCCCTCTTAGCACACTGTATATAATGCTCGTCTTCATAGGCCCTGCAGTCGGAATAGAACAGTAGGGCCTTAAACCCCATTTCATTAATTTCAAACCACATTAAATGCTTTACCAAACTTCACACGGTGATATTCATGTTAAACTGTAACGAATTCGAAAACACTTTAAGTTGACATTTTGTCAATCGATTTTGGATGGGGTGGGGGTGGGGGTAAGAACTATATATATTTCTAAATCAAAATAATGAAACAAATCGAGGATGTTAAACCCCATTTCATTTCATTTCATTTTAAATTTTGATTAGTAGAGCGCATTATACCAGGGTAACGGAAATATTAAGAAATCATCGTTATTATTTTCTTTCTAAATCATGATACTTATTGGTCTCTAACAGAAAATAACACTTGGCGCAATATAAAGATTAGTAGACGCAAAAATAAGTTAATTATTTTATCTCCCTTTCTTCCCTCAAGGTAGACTAATTTCGAGAACAAACTAATACACCCCATGAATCGATCAATAGAATCTATTGGGTAATGTCATTGTCAAAAGTGTGTTTACATCAAAGCATAAAGGCATAATGAGAAAGTCTTCAAATTCTCGATATACACAGACGATCTTTGGGCGTTTCGACAAATTTCATGAATACAAATAATTTATATATTTTTTAAAGGGATAGAAAATCTCCAGTATAGTGTATTTGGACACGTTCATATTTTATAAGCTCGGATAATCTTTTACCATAATAATAATCGGGCGTGAGAAAAGCTTGAACAATAAACTGCGTTCTTTCTCTATATCTAATCGTATGAATATTTTTTTATAATTCTGAGGGACGCGCCATAAGGTTGGATTTGATAAATAATTTTGGGATATTGATAATCATAACACATGTAATGCTTAATTCATTTGCGACTTGCGAACTATTTTGTGTGGGTTTTGTTTTGAGTTCATTTTAAGGGTAAATTTAATTTTACGTTGCGGAATGTCCGAATATGAAATTACACTTTAAAGGTAATAAGAACTGGAATCCTGCTCGAATTGTCATTTCTTGGAACTAAAGAAAGAGGGCAGTTGACAAAGTCTTAGTATAGTCGTTCGGATCGGACGAAAAACCCGAGGTCCCGTGTAGACATTGGCGTGCACGTAAAAAACCCTTCGGTACTTGTGCCTCAATTAGAAACTTGTTAAAGGTCTACTCAGAGACGGTTCGGATCGTAATTAAGGTTTATTTGACTTTAACGACAAACTGTAAAAAGTTAATCGCTTATCATTGAAGATATATGAAGGCGACTCGCTCTAGGTCACTTTGGGACTAACATATGGTACAATTTTATTTCAATAATTCGCTTCCGGGTCTTTAGCAGTTGGAGGACACTAAAGGGACCAGCGAAATCCCACGAGATGGGCAGGCAACCTTAATCCTTGTCTGGGATCGAAACTGCGCCACTTGACTCAATGACAGACCATTATGATCCAAAGAGCACTCGTTAGACTAATCGACCACCCAAACTTACACCACAGTTCTTAATCAATATTGCCTTATAACGGAAACAAATTTATATTCTTAACTGTAAATTCTTGGGGGGTCCCTCATGAGTAAATTTATCTATTAGATCTTTATTTATTTTTTTCATAAGTAAAAAAAAGTTTAGGCCTATAGCTAATTGGTCAATATAAATATGTGAAAAACTATGAATTATAAAGCTTTTTTCTTTCTTTTTTTTCGAAATACAAAGTATAATATTCATTTGTTGAGGTTTGGTCACAGTTTTCAAGGTGTAGCCTTGCCTCACAGTACAGCCTATTAACATTTTTTTTTATATAAGATTAAAAACATGACTGAATTTCACTTGAAAATACTTACGTTAATGTAATAGGATTTGAAACTGTTTATTTTTCTTTTTAAAAAAAAAAGATAAAAAATCATCGTGAATAATTATGAAGATAATAACAGGTTTTTAACAATTTCAGTCCTGTCAGGGACCAAGTCGGACATAAATGTTTGCTGTTATATAGCCGAATGTTCATAGTGATATATGTCGGAGAATGTCACCATTGTTTATAGTGCTCATATTTTATAAATAAGACGTAGGATAACGAAATACTTAATATAAGTGGAAGCATAAATAAACGATTAAATATGTGGAAAGGATTATTTCACCCAAGCGTTCCAAGTATGTTTATAATTTATTATCGTTTCTTACTTTCTATCATAATATCTTTGTAATTTTCGTTTTAAAGAACAATGTGATATTTTTTGTGTTGTTTTTTTTAATATGCAGTAGGTTTGGAATGGTCATTTGATATGTTCTTTTCATTGAGATTGAATTAAACGCATAATAAAAAAAGGATCATCAGGCCTAAAATGCTGCCAAGGATGTGGGCTTTATACTGGTTTATAAACCATTCTATATATGTTAACAATTTTTGAACAAGTATGTATGATTCAGATAAAGAACTGGCCGTTCTTGCTTAAATAGTTAAAAATAGATAATGAAAAATGAATATATTGAAAATTTTACTCAAATTATTTTATTCTGAGCAAAGTTGTTAGAGTTTGAAGTTTTGAAATGATATAACTTTAATAGTCTCCAATGTCAAGTACCGTTTTTACCATAACAAACAATGTATCGATTGTCCAGTTTAATGTTAAATTATTAAATAATGCGGGTGTTCTAATCCATTCCATATCTCAGCCACCTGATGTTCTAGAGAGTTGGTTATGGGCTTGTCATGTAAATAAATAACGGGAATTTATATTACATTTGAAGCAAGAAAAAAAATGTAATAGGCAGATATCTCTAGCATAATGCATCTCTAATCTATTTATATTAGAACTCATCCTATGAAAGCAATATGGCTAACCTCCTTGTAATCTTGCATGTGCTGTAAAACATTGATAATATGAAGATGGTATTGAGGTTACTACTGTAATTGTCTTATGCTAGCCGTCGTATAACTTCTTCACCTTCCCCACTAATCTCAATATTACTGAAATGATCTATTGTGTCTGAGAAGACGCTTAAGCCTTAACGCAATTTATTTCACGGTTCTTTTCTGACTATTGAGTAAAAGTGAACATATCACCGCAAATAAAAATTAAATTTATTAAAAATATAAAACAATTAATTTTTGTCTAAAAGATCAATACGTTCGGTCTACTTTTTAACTAAACATTAGGTGTATCTAATTCGAAAGGTCGATAGAAAATCATAAAAAAATGGGAACACAACAGAAGATCATTAGTTTTATCGCATGATAAACCCCGGACTTAATGACCCGTAAGTTTAAGTCATAAGACACTATAGGCCGTTTCTGTAATTTTATATATTATATATACGCAAACATAAGAATAGTATAGCATAGTTATATAAATATTATTCCATTTATTTTAATTATTGAGGATAATATGGCGGAGTGTCCATTGGATCACTCAAGTATAAAGGTAAATATTGATAGCTAGATTTATATGTGAAGTTCAAAATGTTTTAGATGTCAGCTCAGAATAATCAAAATGCTTCAAATTTAGTTGCATTTCACCCGGGTATTGGAGCAAAACATGGCTTAGGAAGAATGCCAAAGTATTGGCTACACGTACAAAAAATAATTTTCGATTTGCCTTGATTCGACAATTAGTATTCAAATACGGTGCGGTATAGTTCTTAAAACAGATTGCGACCAAAATTTGGGACATCGACTAATCTCATCGCTAATACGCATGTTTTTAAGATATTAAACTGTATATACATGTATTAGCCTATGTTTTTTTAAGGTTAGCTGACATTGGGACAAAATGTTTTACTAAAAGGCGCTAATGTGTCTTTAACCATATTCAGTTTTGACCCTGGGACAAACAAAGTCTTTTACTTCGATTTCCATCTATAAATATCATTTGTTGCAGTTGCATAAGGCCTTTCGCCTACAGGGGTTGTATGGTTCATATTTCGCTTTAAAGACTAAGATGTCAAAACAATGCCGGATAAGGATTTTTATACATGAAAGATTAAATTGGAAAGGAAAATATTGTGTAGGCCTTTATACGATACGACGTTTTCTTGTCTGAATTTGTAATAAATTTAGACCCCCAGCGGAAGAGTAACCGGGAGAGTGTGATATTGTTGCTGCCGGTCACCTGGTTCCTCACTTTAATATGATTTTTTACTATTTGTCTCATTAATCTTCAATATTTAGGTTTGACCCAAAGAAAAATATTTCCTCTTGTGGTTACTCTTTAAAGAGTTTGCGCATAGGCCTATGTAGCCTATTCTATGAGTTATTTTGAATATACATTTGTAGAATATACATGAATACATTTTGTCTTTTTGCGGAATATTGCGCGGTAGCAGTAGGTGCTTGGGGCTCCTCCACAAAATGTTCAACAATTCATGGCAAAAAATGTGATTTTGAGTAGGCCTACCTCTTGGCTTTGGAACACAATCAATAGCCATAAAATTTAATACATCTTAACATAGATTATAGGAGGGGAGAAGTTGCTCATTGAGCTCGGATATGGCCAGTTTGACTGAAAAGTATACTTTAATTTTTTTTGATTTTTCTTTTATGTCCGCCATCACCCCATTAGAATATTTCGAAAACTATATTGAATCCGAGCGCAAATATATATATACCGTATATAAATTTTTAACATACTGTGTGTGGGCCTATTAATTCTGTATTTTAGTGTATTTATGAAAGATCAGCAAATTTAATCAAAGGCTACGGAATTTTAATTGCCGACATTTAGCTACCCTTTGGTGTGGTTACTGTGGAAGAGACAAAACCGGTTCTTCGAATTGTAGTAAACTTTCGATTTAGCGCTTTTCATTTAAGGCGACGACGTCATCATTTAATGTGGAAAAGATGCATGACGTTGCATTCTTTGTATAAATTCGTCTGCCATTGCTATAATGTTGATTTGATCAAGGCTAATGATTTTATTTTGTAGAATGGGAAAACAGTATGAATATATCATTTTCAAATGAAACCAAACACATGAAGGAGGGCCACGAAGGCCCTGTTGCTGCGGTGCTATTTTTCATTTTTTGTAGTTGTGCACTTGGAGGTAAGTTAATATCGGTAAACTTACACTACACTCACAGAAAGCTTAGATTAGACTTAGAATAGGCCTAATTATTTTCCTTACCAAAAATATACAGACTCCTGACGTTTCTACAATTGGGTACCAGATGTGGAAAGGTAATTCTCATATAACAACAAATAGATCTACCAACTTTTTTATTTGATATCAACCATTGATTGCAGAAGCGAGCATATTTTATGTTTGTTTTTATTTTACTATTTTACTTAGTCGTTTAATAATGATTTATAATGTCTGTTATTATTTTGCTTTTTCAGCACTTGTGAGACAAATTGTACAGAGTATTCCAGTAAGGTTACCTTACACTGTTGTTCTGTTGTTACTGGGAGTACTATTTGGTCTTGTGTCCAAGGCAGTACCACAAGTTCACCTTTATGCATCCATTGTGGAAACAGATCCACATCTTATTCTTCATGCCTTCTTACCTGTTCTTATATTTGAATCAGCATTCGCGCTGGAAATACACACCTTTAAAAAAACTTTCGCACAAGTTTTATTATTAGCTGTACCTGGTCTAGGTGAGATATCTAGTACAATCAATCTAGCTAATAATCACTGACTTAAGATTCATTAATAAAACAGAAATTTTATTATGGCCGAAATTAAATATAAATAAATTGGTGTGGCCTTATTGTTGAAAACGAAATACACCATAGAACATTTGCAAAAAAGAGACTCATTTAAAAAGAGATTTTTCTTACCTAGTGAAACAAATACAAGTATTGATTCCTTGTAATATTTTTAAGCCCAAAAGAGAATCTTAGGCTACTGCCTTTTTGCAGAAAATAGATTTTAAATCAGTAATAACAACACGAAATAGTAAGTGCAGGAGGACTGCACCACACACACACCCACACACACACACACACACAATTACAGGACACAATATACAGACATCACAAACAACAAACACACATATCAGATCAAGTGATGGATCCAGGGGATAGCTATAAGCATATACTGCACTGTATAGTAGATTAAGTTGTAAAATGTTTGATTATTCTATCTTACTCTATTTCAGCTCTCTCATCATTTCTCATCTGTATTATGTCTCGATACTTATTTACCTATCAATGGACTTGGACTGTTGGCATGGTGTTTGGTTCCATATTAAGTGCTACAGATCCAGTTGCTGTAGTAGCCATTTTGAGAGAAGTCGGTAATGGCACATTTTCTAAATAATCAAAACCTTGTTATGTCGAGAATATTACTTTGTGAGGTGGACTCAACATTAAATTAGCAATGTCATCAATCCAAACAAGGACTTCCTGGTCAGTTAACCAGCGCACTACTCACTTAGCTACCATGGCTCCCCAAAATTGATTGAAGATAGGCTTATAAATTTTGATAAAAGACATTAAAGAATTACAGATTCCTTCATAGCACAGTAAGCACACATATTATCCATTTAATATTGCATTTATTTAATATATTATAGGTGCCTCCAAACAGTTATCAATGGTAATTGAAGGTGAATCTTTGTTAAATGATGGAGCTGCTATTGTATTTTTCAATATATTTTTAACACTTTGTACATCAGAAGTTGGACTATCAGGTAAATCCTTGTTTTATTTTATAAATGAATTTGAATACCCTCATATAATCTCACCATGGTGCCAAGAAAAAATAAAGTTATCAGAATTCTTACAATGAGAAGTGGTATCAGGGGTTCTATAGAAAGTAAGCTTACTCTGCCTTGTGCAACAAGCTTATTGATCAATGGTTTTGGTTTTGTTACATAGGCTTATTCCTTAATCCCGTATATTCCGGACATGTCCGACGCTATTTTCCAAACGTCCTAAATTGTCTGACCAGAAATTTGCCCAATCGGACATCAAGACATGATGAATAAAAATATTGTTTATAAAACAAAATACTGACATCATGTACCTTTAAGAATGAAGGATGAACACACCCAATCCCTCAATTAAACAAATTCTTCCACCAGAACTATTAAAGAGTTTTTTTTTTGTTTTTGTTGTTTATAAGATTATTTATTTGTTTTTCTTGATTTATTACAGGTGGTGATATTGTTTTAAACTTTGTACAAGTTGCTATAGGTGGTCCAGCATTCGGTTTAGTGATGGCGAAGATTACATTATTTTGGTTGTCAAGAATATTTAATGATGGCTTATCAGAAATAACTATAACTCTTGCTTCTACATATATCACTTTTTATGTAGGTAAGTCATCAGTCAGTCTTTATTAAGTTTTATTTGAAGACAGGGGTAAATTGGGATTAACATCCACTCAACACAAACTAGGTTATTTTGGGATGAACATGTGGTGCACATAGGTATTTCTTGCGAGTAAGGGTCTTTAGCAGTCTGAGAAACCCAGAGAAAACCCAAGAGGTTAGGCAGGTAACCCTACTCCTTGTCACATACAAGCCTGGGTATTTGAAAGTATTTTCTAAGCATGTTCATTACTTCTATTAGGCTTTTTCAGATCTCCAGTGTCCAAATTTTGATTTGCAATAATAGGTTTGTCTTTCCTTGGAGGGTCTTTTAAGGAAACTTTGTAGAAAATACATGAGTATACTATTTATTATATATAATTGTAGGAGAACAGTTTTTAGGAGTATCTGGAGTATTAGCTGTTGTTGTATTAGGTGTTGTTATGAGTAGTAAGAGAACCAGTATCAGTCCAGAAGTTGAAGAATTCTTGCATAGGTATATTGAATCAAATTTCTGAAGGATTTTCTTCTGTCTTTTGTAGAACTATATCTTCAAGCTTCCTTTTATTTATACCTGAAAAAAAAAATCCAACTAATCTTTAGATAATGAATTATATTTGTATTTGATGAATAAATCATTTATTTTTCCAGATTTTGGGAGACATTGGCTTATCTTGCTAATACTCTGATTTTTATTCTGGTTGGAGTAGTAATCTCAGAAAAAGCTATTTTTAGAATACATGGTATAGATTGGTTCTATATGTTTGCATTATATTTCGGTCTTCAAGTTATTAGGTAAGTTATAACTAACATCAATTTGGATTTACCGAGTAGGGCCTTATAAGCTTAATGAATACTCTTGAGAGCACATTAACAGTTGCTCAATTTGTATGAAATTGTTTACTGAGGCCTGTTCTGCATCATCTGTAAGCTTTAATGTATTAGTTATTTATCTTTATGGCGGACTTGACTATTTGAATGAATGAAGCTGCAGATTTGAAGAAATGTAAGACTCTGCTGGATTCTAGTACAAATATATATTCCTTTCATGATGTTTATTTCTAAATGTTTAAGTGAAGTTGCTGTACTTTGGGACCAATTAAGTTTGGACTAAAGTTTGCTTGTTTTTATTCCAGAGGAATTATGATAGCATTATTAAGTCCTATATTAAGACGAATAGGATATGGTCTGACCTGGCAGGAAGGTATTATAATGACATGGGGTGGTTTACGTGGGGCTGTAGGTCTAGCTTTAGGTCTATTAGTCTGGGAAGAAGAATCTTTAGACTTAGAAAGCATTCGATTAAAGGTAAGGGAATTAGTAGTAATTTTTTTCACATATTTGCAATAATGATTAGGGGTGGTTGTGTGTGTGTTGGTGGTGGGAGGGGGGGGGGGTGATGAGAAAATTTATTTATCTTGAAAAATATATTATAAAATCGGTGCTTGAAAATTTTTTTCTGAAATGATTATTTTATACTTTTATTTTCTCATAATAATATTGATATAGTGTACTAATTTCATCTAGTCAGTTGACAAAAATATTGCTACCCAGTTCAAGATATAATCTGATATCTAGAATTGATTAATGTTTGTTAATGTTAATTCACTGTTTTATGTTTTATATTTATATAGATGTTAATCCATGTATCGGGTATTGTGTTTTTAACATTACTGGTAAACGCCACAACAGTCCCCCATGTTCTTAAATTATTAGGTAAGTTACTTTACATACAGCAAGTAACCACACAGTGACTCGATTAGTAAGGTACTGATGTATTAACTATTAACCCAGTTTTAATCCTAATAAATTTTTTAGGAATTTCCATCCTGTTTTCCCCCATATCAGTAGTACAGGGAGCAAGGCCTGGTGGTAAGGAAGCACACCATTCAGATGAAATGAGATGCTGTGTATACCACATTAAATATCTCACGATAAAGTCATAAGAGTAGCCCATAGCATCGCTGTTAGGGCAAAACTTCACTAAGAGTACTCTGCATAGTGTCTTCATTAGCCATTGGTGCAGAAAAGTAGGACATTAAGCCCCAATTCATTTCATTTTTTTGCTTGATTATGGAATGTGGTTGAAAATCTTTATCAAATTTTTCAATAGATGAAATTATTAAAGACAGTGTATCATTTAACATTGACTATGTGTTATTTTAGGAATGAATGATGTTTCACCAGCTAAGCGTATGGCTATGGCTAGTGCTTTACGATATTTAGAAGAACTACGACAGAAAACATTCAACATGCTGAAAACAGACAGGTAGAAAATGATGAATTTCTAAAATACAAGATTTTCAATCTTATTTCACATTTAAATAAATGGGTAATCTTGATGTCATTGGAAATGAGAAGTCTCATACACGCTTCAGCTTCCTACGTGTATAAAACAATAAATTAACTGTTTATTATAATGGAAAATTCAAATCTTCTTTAACAGCGGTGCTTTAAGAAATTCTTTTTATTTTATCCTTTTTTTTTTAACAACAGATTTTTGGCAGATGCTGATTGGGAAATAGTAGAGAAGTCCTGTTTAATAAATGACCCATATAAAACAACAGAAGATGAGGTACACTTCTTATTACACATTCATTAATTATACTATATTCTCTAATATTATGATTGGGAAATCAATTCTAGCTAATGCTAGGTTCCCACTGTCGTGTGATGCGCTACAATAGGATTGTCCTTATTGAGTACACGATCTGGTACATGTAGATACGTTCAGATATGATTCGATACGATCAACACGATTGCTACGACTGACCTCAATGTATGATAAGACCTGATAGGATCACCAGGATTACTCCATGATTAAAACCATGATTTCAATCATAGGGCGAATCATGATAGTGGGAACCTAGCATTAGCGAATGAATAAGAGGGATTGAGAAAGGTGGGGTTTCATGTCTACTCAACATAAACAAGATCATTTCGGGACTAACTTATTTCAATAACTTGTTTGTGCATAGGCATCTTTAGAAGTGAGAAAATTGGAGGACCCTGAGAAAACCCACGAGGTTGGGTAGGTGACTCTACTCTACACATAAAAACTATATATAGAAACCACGACCACGCCACTTGACTACTCAACCTCCATCCTGCCCCCCCCCCCCCATGATTCATATATACACCCTTTTTGTGTCTAATATAATATTGTATGTTTTAGATTGTCTTAGAAGAATCAATGGATATTAGACCCAATGCTATCTGTCCAGATTGTGATGCATGTTTACCATCGCAGCCAACTCGTAAAGAACTAAGAGATATGACTAATGAAGCTGTACTTCGACTTCTCAAAGCGGAGAAAGTAAGTTTGTTTTTCGGATGACTAGCAATTTATGATCTACTTTTCTTACCTTGCTTTTAATGTATGAAATGACAAGGGTATTTTTATTGTCTATCCAGCAAACATTAGCTTATTCTCAGTCAGTCAATGAGATGAAAGACTGTCCATGCAGTCAGATGATTTTCTGAAACATAAACACCATTTACACTACCAAAATGGAATAAAACTCAGTTGGGATCTAGAACTGTTGCACAGAATATTTGGTAGTGTAAACAGGTTGAAATGTATGGTACTCAGTTTGGACCAGTATTGGTACAATGAGGTGAGGTGGTATCTATCTGGGATTGAGTTTGGTTTGGTTAAATATATATATATATATTTGGTGGTGTAAATGAAAATACGTGCATGTTCAGAGTTCTACACAATCTTTCAGAGAATAGTTCTGGCACTGATGCCTAAATGGTACAACTTTAAACAATTTATCTGGAATGGCTACAGTACTTGTTACCATTGTAAATAGGGTTATAATATAGTGATTAGAAGCTTATAAAAATATAATATATTTATTATAGTTGAGTTATTGGAGACAATTTGAACAAGGTATGTTATCTAGAGAAGCAGTACGTAAATTACAAGAATGTACTGAAGTTTCTGCTGATAAAAAGGGAAAGTAAGTAAGCCTTTTCACCTGTTCGTTCTTATGAATTTTAACCAGTATTGTTGTGACCTTGGATATAAGCTTTCAAAAACTGATTGTCTCCCTTATAATGTGTTCTGAACCCATATTTGTAACTTGCAGCAAGCAGTAGAACTAGAATCAACATACAAACTGCTAACAGTAATTAACTTTTCAGAAACCATATTGACTGGCAGTTCAGATTATACATATATTTTTGTTTTATTATCTAGTTTATGTATATCGTTTGTCTTATTTCTTGTAATTTTATCTTTTTAGGTTTATAGATGTTGAAGAAATTAAGAAATCATGGGAAGTTCCACAATATCTTATAAATATTGTAAGTTGATAAACTAAGTTCATGGATTATTACATTTTATGAAATTTTTTCTTTTGATTTTTGTTTATCTATGCCTCTCTGAAAATAGATACTGGGCATTATAATCCTAACTATGCAATTTGGAAAATTGTCTGGCTTTTACAATTAGAATTGTATGTAAAGAATATTGAAATCTTAGATCTTCTCAACTGCTAAAATTTGCAGCCATCTCATTGTAGCACAGCACATCTGTTGTATATAATAGATTCTCATGAAGCCTAATGCAGGGTTTTTCTCCAGAAAATTGATTTCACAATATTTTTCAAAAAGCTTGCTATTTGATTTATGGTCACCCCTAATATTAATCCACAGTCCTAGGAGCTGCACTAAGACAACACAATAAAATTAACCTACCAGTATATATTTTTTATGGAACTTGGCTGCACTGAAATATAATGTTGATCTTTTTTTCAGAAACGAAGATTAAAACAGATCATCCGTGTGGATGTTGTGAAAGAGCCAACTTCTAAAATATTAAAGACCTTAATGCATATAACTGAAGCAAAAGTTTTCAGTATAATTGTGTACTGTACTATTGCTATGGATATAATAAATTCAAGTCTAAGTGTTGTGTGTATTTATAATGATCCCTGGAAAGAGTTTCGACATATAATGAATGTCTTTAATGTTATAATGGTTTTTGTCTATTTTTTGGAAGTTATCATAAAGGTAATTCTTGATATTTTTCGTTTTGAATATTAATTGCTTTCAGAGCTGAAACTACACTTAAACCAACTAATATTAGACAATATTTTCATGTAAGTTTAACGTCTTTCTGTTCTGCTCCGACTGGACTAATGAAGACAGGCGTACGCCATACAGTGTGCAATGAGGGAAATTTTGCCCGGGCAGTGGCACTATGACCTACTCTTATATCGAATTCCAACTGTTTTAAGGCTGTTTCCCTGTAAGGCATATATAGGTTATGTTCAGAAATATGATATTTTGGGGGTAAGGAATATACCTGCATATGTATATCAGATAGAAATTAATCTTGGACATGCTTGAAATTGAGAGGCCAGTTATACGACAAATAATTTTTATAACACTACTTTTAAATGTGTATGAACTAAAAGTTTATAGTAGCATTTTCTTCTAAAATAATGGACTTTTATCTATTTATTTAAATGTGTGTGGTTTTTTTTTCATTTCATTTACAGTTAATAGTTCAAGGAAAACTGTTTTTCCGTAATGTGTGGCAAGTTTTAGGATCTTTGGTTATTATACATGGAACTGTTGATATTGTTCTACAGTTTGCACTAGCACCACTAGAAGATGGAACTAACACAGTTATTAAAACTGTATTAGTTTCGATGATAGCTATTAGATCTATTAGGCTGTTGAGATTTATTGAGGTAAGTATAGAAATAAAGACATACAAACATAAAGTTAGTTTCTATTAATCATAATTAGGTCATGATATTTATAATGACACAAACTGCTTATAATTGACATAACAACAATTTAAGACTCCATAGTTTTATTTATAACTATGGAGGAATGGAGGATTGCATCGAGTTGATGTTGTTCACCCATCTACTCAGAGCAGCTATTAAACAAAATGCAGTTAAAAATGATACTTTTTTCCAGAACAAACTACAGTAGCTTTTAAGGCCAAAGTGGCTCTCATTCGAAAACATTCAAATTTATAATCTTCATAAATGTTAAAATGTTCAAATCTAGATGATCAACTCAGTGCAGGGGGCAATATAGATCTGTCATTGTGTCAAGAGCTGTAGTTACTTTCCAGACATGTGTGTGACAAGGAGTGGGGTTTTCCCTGGGTTCTTCGTTTTCTTCTCTGATCCCTGTATAAAAGTTGATTTTTGAAGTAAATATGTACCATTAGTCCGGAAATGAGCTAGTTTATGATTTAATGTTAAACACCATTTCTCTCTGTAATAAAACTAAAGAACGGATAACTAATTCTATCACATGTTATTGTATATTACAGCCACTCTTGCCGTCAGTATTAATGGAAGTAAAGAATAGAATAAGTTTGCATCTCAGTTATGGTTATGATCTGGGGCGTGGTTTTGTTGCTGGAGAAGAAGAAGTACGTAAACTGATTGATCATATGGTGGATAGTAAAGATATAGCTAAACAGTTAAAACATCATTGTGATTCCTCTAAGTTGGATGTAATTAGATGTTTAGGTATGTTTTTTTATATTTTATTTGTAGGAGATCAGGGTGGTTCACAAAGCATATGTACATGTAAGTCCCCTGGTTATTAATTTGGTTGAAACCAAAAGCATTCGTTACTGCTTGAAAGTAGAGCTGGGCGATATTTTATAAAATGTCAGTAATTTATTGTTTATCACCCTTTAACTAAAAACAAACATGCTTAAAAAGTTGGACATACCTCCTTAGTATTCATTTGATCAGATTCAAACATAGATCTAACCACGAAGATTTGCTAAAAATGTTGGGCTATATTGTTGTTGTTTATTACAATTTTAACGTCCAATACATGATTAATTATGTAATTATGGACAGGTTGATTAAGATTATTTGCATATAAAGGGGGCATAAAAAATAAAATTATGAATTATGACAGCACAAAGCAGATACCGCTATCACCATGACATTAAATAAACTATTTCTAGAGTTACGTTCATTATCATTAAAGTCCGTATTGGGCTGTTTTGGACATGCACAATTAGTGAATATAATTTTAACAATGGTGACCACTGACCATCGTGAAATACAGAGATGAACACTTAATGCATTCCACAATCTAAAGGTTGGAAACCCCATTTCCTGCAGAAGTAACGATTACAGCATTATTATTGTATACTGTTGTACTTGTATCAAGCTATATTATTTTGAATAGGTCTTCTACAGAAACAACATCCTGATATAGCTTTATCAGTTAAAACACGACAAGCTATAAGAAGTGTATTAAACAATCTACGTGATGGTATACGGGAACTACATGAAGATGGTGTATTAATAGAATCAGAGAGAGACAAGTTACAAAAGGTTACATTTCTTATAATCTTTATCGGTGTTATTGTCATCATTTTGATTTTCATTAAATATCTGAAAATAGTTGGTTACCATTTCCATATATATATATACATATTTACATTACATTATGTCTGAAGTTTCTTATGTAAACTCATTGACATTAATGACATTGAAATGGGATTTTGTCAGTCAATAACATTCAAATTTCCCATGGGAGTCTCATTCCTAACACCTACCAAATCTCAACAGCTTTTATGACATAAATAGACATATTTAACAGAATTGAAAAGTTTATTCAAAAGATAAATGTGTACATTATGTCATATGTACTGTAAGTATTAGAATTAAGTTTCAAGTTTTCCTTGTATATTGGGTCAAATACTGGTTCATATTAAAGGAGAAGTACCAGTCACTTGGTCTCCGGGAAAGAAAAAGCTTGTTTAACTATGCAAATCATATGCAATGTCAAAAAATGTCTGAATATTTCTGTCCAAAATATACAGCTGTTTGAAAATGGTGGCTGAAACATGTTATTGGGGTTATGTAACTTTATTTTAAACACAATTGATATGATAAACTTTTCCAAATGATTCTTGAACAACCAGATCTTGAGCTGAAGTTGATTATGTGGGTATACTTTCTGTTGCCTCTTATCAGCAAAATGTATATAAAGCCTAGTGCACACAAGCAATTTTTAGGCAACCAACAATGCAAAATGGAGCAATTAAAAATAGTTTACAAATTGCCTAAGAAAATCAACCTTGTGCACAAGGTTTAAAAGTGATGATATTTACTGATGGTCCATCAGTTATAATATAAGTTTCTTTTAATGTATATTCTAATTAGTAATTGTATTAAAATATAAATAAATAAAGTATTGTATTATATAATTATTGTAGATGGTAGAAGTACAGATGAAGTTATTATTAAGTGCACCACCAAGTATACCAATACCAGCACCCGATAAACTATTAAATAACGTTACCTGGTTACAGAATGATCAACAACTCATAGAATATTTCAAGGTAAAATTAGTTATTTTTTCACTCAATCACTTAAGATACCCTTGGCTGTAAAACTGGTATATTTTCACAGTTCCATTTTTAAACATGGCTACAATTGTTGATTATTAGATTTTATATGTAAGAATCTTATGGTGGGGGTCACGGTGGCTAAGTGGGTAAGACGCTTGCTCTCTAGCCTGGAGGTTTGGTGTTCGATCCCTGCATTGGCCAAGAAAGTTCATCCAGATTTTCCAGCGTTGTTCCCCCTTGTCAGTGATGCAGGACGGAGGGTCTGACAAGGACAGCTGTCTAGTCGTTTGGATAGGACAAAAAAACGAGGACCCGTGTACATATTGGCATGCACGTAAAAGATCCCTTGACAGTTGGAATTCGATATAAGAGTAGCCCGTAGTGATGCTGTCCGAGCAAAATTTCCCTCATAGCACACTGTATGGCGCGTATGCCCGTCTTCATTAGCCCAGTTCGAAGCAGAACAGTAGGACGTTAAACCCCATTTCATTTCAAGAATCTTATGGAAAGGTTTACCAGCCTCTACTTGAGTATCTTTTTTTGTCCATATATCAGAAGACACATAATGGGAACCAAACACTCTTCAAAGATAATTTGAAATATTAACAAGAAAAGGTTATACAGCTAGAATATGACTAAAACTCAAAGTGTAACGTTAATGAAATAACATAGAAATATTTTATATTCGGTCTATATTTTTAGAATCGAGCAAAATTAGAAAGCTATAATTATGATGAAGTTATATTAAAAGAAGGAGATCCAACCCAGGGAATATATATCATTGTTTCTGGTTTAGTCAGGGTAAGTTATGTATATTTTTATATACCGATAGTTCATATTAAAGATAATTGATTTTGTTTCTCAACCCTGTTTTTGCATAATAATCCCAGAATAAAATAATTAAAAGAATTGTTACAATTATTGAGTTTTATATTACAGAACATAACTATGGTCATTTTTGTCTTAACTGTCTGTTGAAATTGTGATTTATTTATATCTTGTAGCTTGAAACAAGTTTTAATCATACAAGATCTAGTGTTAGTGTAACAGGGATGACCGAGAATAAATTAATGGATTTTATGACAACTGGTAATATTATTGGAGAAATGGGATTTTTAACACATAGAACTAGAATGGCTAGTGTTAAATGTGAAACAGCAGTTCAGGTAGGTTTAATTTCTTTAAAATTTATAAGAAGAATTAGGAGGTTTCCTGATGGCCCCAAAAATCGAGAATAACCTTGATGCAAGGACAAATTTAATTTTGTTATTTTTATGCTAGATTCTGAAATGTTTCTTGTTTAGCCACAAAACTAGCTTTATATATTGGCAGATGTTAATACCAAAATATGCAAATTGAAATTATTTATATTTAATTCTCGCATCATTGTATATTAAGATATTTCTTTAAGACTGTGAATCATGGCACCAAGAGGTAATTAGTAAAAGAATGTAATTTGAAAAGTATGATTATATTTTAAAATAGTAGCAAATTGTCGTAACAATGTCCTAATACTTTTTAATGGCATTTTTTGTAGCTGCTGTTTATTAGCTCAGAGGTGATGGAAGAAGCTTTTGATGAGTTTGTTGAAATTGAACCCTCTTTAGAATACAGATTATGGAAAGTTTGTGCTGCTAGACTTGCTGTTGGTGTATTAATGGAGCAACCAGGCTATCAGGTTAGATTTAGTCAACAATATTTTAGTCAATAGTTTTCTGAATGGGATTGGGGAACAGGCTGATTGCTCTTCTTATTGCTAAATATTTCTCCTAAATCAACATTCCTATCAAATTGATCTAATTTTCTATCAACAAAATTTATATCAAATTGATCTAATTTTCTATCAAACTGATCTAATTTTCTATCAAATTGATCTAATTTTCTATCAGATTGATCTAATTTTCTATCAGATTGTTCTAACTTCTGATTTTCTATCAGATTGATCTAATTTTCTATCAGATTGTTCTAACTTCTTATCTAATTGATCTAATTTTCTATCAAACTGATCTGAAATCATCTTTAAAGATAAGTATTAAATTCTCTAAGACATCACATTTCTTTGTAGAATTCCAAGGTTTAAGATTTGTGTTATTTTCAGGAGAAATATTATTCATTAAGGATTTCACAAAGTTCTGACAACGAGAAGATTAATTGATATCTGCTGTTAGTTCAGTGTCTTAATTGTTCCACTATCAGGGAAGACTGAATACCAAATTAACGCAATGAGAATTATGCAACGGTTCTATTATTAAGTGGTTTGCATATGATTAAACAACAATATATTAATTTTTATATTTTTGTTATAGGGTTTAACTAAAGAAAAGATCAAGTTAAGATTAGAAACATCATATCTTGTATCAGTAAATGAATCAAGTACATTCTGTATTGATTCTAGTATGGCAGATGTAGTTCTTGTTCATGGTAAGTTTATTTTCTCCTGTTTCTTATTGTCCTCTAAAGTTAAAGATTGATTATTAATATTATGACATCGAAATGAAAGTTCTTCCCATCTTTAATAACTAAATTGTCATTACATTTATTTTTAGTAATGTTTTGTATTATTCTTAGGTTATGCTCAAAATGCTTATACAAGAGAACAGTTTGTTGGACCATGTTATATACCTTGGACTGTTTTAAAACTCAATTTACAGGTAGGTCCATACTAGTTAGTAAATATTTTAATCGTAAATTTAGAACCCCTTTTATGGCATTGAATACAAATTTCGGGAAATCTGCTGTGTTGTCCCTTTAAAAATTTATAAGTTTGCATTTGACATCCAAAATTGAGACCGTCCTGTAAAAATTTCAAATATGAAATGTTTATCCACCCATATTCAACAAATCTTCTGATAATTATTCCTGTTACAATATATTATTTACCTTGGATAAATTATCAAACAATTGCGTACAAAGGTACTCGACATCTTACGCAAGTGTAAATGTGTTTTCTAAAATGGGTGGCAAACATTTGAGTTAAATAGACACTTAAGAAGTTACTCATTAAGTAAGTATTTGGGTTTGAAAATTAAACAATGTATTACACAACAGTAAATCTTGCTTCATCTTTAAAGGGATATATTTTGATGCACATAAAGTACAGTTTGTACTTTTGTTAGTCATTAAGGTTACTTGAAGTCAACTATATATAGAGTAACCCTACTTTTATACAATATCTTGAATAGGTGTGTCACAATTATTGAAGAAGCTATATAATACCGGTAGTCATGTGCAGGTCTGAAATGCCATTGACATGTTTATACTTTTTTATCTCAGTCTTTAAGAGTTTAACTCATTTAAACTGATGCAAATAAAACTATTTTCCTATTCAAAAACTATTTAAGGTTCCCCAGTTTACAAATATTGAATAATTATATTATGTTGACCAATATAATTTATATATAATGTATACAAATGCAATCTGAGCAGAGACAGTTTCTCATTTCAGATAACTTTAGAATATAAAGTGAAGGTTTTTTTCTGGTCGTCAATTATGATTTGAAAATATTTTTTGACATAACAGTAATTTTATTTTACAGACAGATAAAATAGCTCGGCCTATAATATTGGTAGTACCAAGTGAGTTAGGTCAATCTGTACCTGCGGAACGTAGACAGTCATTCCATGATGTAAGAAAGGAACATGGTCCATATCTCTCCTCTGTAAATAGACTATGTCTTAGACATGCTTCTGTACATAGACACGATGTGACTAGTACATCAGACAAGAAAGTAAGTATTTCGGGGTTGATCATATTTTGTTTATTCAAACTGTGTTTTGTTCTGCAGTTCTCCAGTATTGTTCATTAAAGTCTATGTTCATATTTCTATATAGAGAAAATTTCTCTTTTTTACTATTAGACTTTTTTAAATGTTTCAGTGGATGTCAGTCTGTTTAATAATTTTAGTTTCAGTTATGGTTTACTGTGTTAACATTTGAACACCCAATTTTTTATAATATATATCTCAATATCGACTTTTTCTAAGTAGTAAAAATTTTTTACGAAGACAGACTGTTATTTCACAAAACAAGCTGAGAATTTTATTATTGATTCAAATAAAACAGAATCTGTGCCATTTTAAATTAAAGATCAGGCAAAATATCATTATTGGAAAATAATTATATATAGTCACTTTGAGGAATCCCTTGTAAACCAAAATATTGTGAACAGTTAAAAAATGATCCAAATGCGTTTAGTATTTACAAAGATGTGATGATCAACAGTATATACAATCCAACATCATCTATAAAAGTATAACTTTGAGTAAAATCTTTAATTTTAATGGGCCTCTTTTTAATCCGATTAAATCCAAGCCAGTTGATTATCTACCTTTGGTTTGTTTTCATAATTAAATGTTAAATGATCAATTTGAGTAAATTTTAACCTGGATTAAACTGTGAAAAATTAGATATTGTACAGAAAATACAGATGGTGATTAGTGGCTTTAATATTTTATTATGGTCTTTTAACTTATAGTTAATAAGTTTTCTTTATTTTGTAGCCAATTAGTCAAAGACACAGTATGTCACAATATGTTACGGGAAGACGAGGTTCGAATATGGATCTCTTCAACCCCAGTCATACAAGATTACCTTCATTAGCATTAAGAAAAGATAGTTTAGGGTAAGAGAATTTAGACACCTTCTTCTTGTGGGTGCATGTAAAAGATCTATAAGTAGGAGGAATATGGAGATGATTATGTGCATAAGATGCCGGTTGGATAAAATTATCCTTCCCTTTGCTTGTCATATAAATAAAGGTATCTTGAAAGGTTACAGACTAAATACATGCAGATTTGTCATAACTGTCCTTGAGTTTTTCTCAAGTACCAAATATTTGTTCAAGATTATATTATTTATTCATTGTTATATTCATGTTGTCCAACCTCGTGGGTTTTCTCCGGATCCTCTGGTTTCCTCCCACTGCTAAAGAACCCTACGCGCAAGCGAATTATTGAAATAAAATTAAACCATATGTTAGTCCTGAAATGACCTAGTTTGTGTCGAGTGGAAGTTAAACCCCATTTCTCTCTCTCTCTATATATATACATGTTGAGAAGGTCTTTGCTGTCGTAAATTTGGCGAGTCAATAGTTGATTTGATATTTGTTTATTTGGTGCAATGTCTATTTTCTGTCTTGTCCGCAGGTTTATCTTGTAGATTTTTGTTTTACATGTAGTGCGGTCCTCCTGCACTTACTATTAGTTTGGTTGTAATTTTTTTTATGTGTGACATTTTTCAGGGTTGGTGCTCCACTAGGTAAGAGAATGTCTACACCAGCTTGTATAGAGACACATCAACGAGAACGACTGCTATCAACAGGCTCAGATAATGCCTTTAAGTCGCCAGACTGCAAGGAACAAACACCTAAAACAAGTATTGATAATTCCATTTTAGATCCCGCTAGTATGCCGACTAATCGTTTAAATACTCGACGCGGATCTGACTTATCTCATGTTTTACCAACCATACTACAAGAAGAAGCGGAAGCAGATGCAGGAACTACTGTGCTATTTCAAGACCCAAAAGACAGAAATTCCATCGATACCGCAGCTGAAAACCAAAATACATCCAATATAAAAACTGATACTAATGAAACTATTCAACTTAAACCATATAATGCCCGAGGCCTATTGAAGTTTGACCTCAACTCACAAAGCTCCCAGCTTTTGTTCCAGAGATTACGTACTTGCGACGTAGATGGTAATTCTGATAGTGATTCTATAAAAGATAGCATTGGGGAGGGACGTGATAGAAATAGTAGTAGCGTCGAAGATAATAATGAAGTTGACTCTGGTTCAAACGGAAAAACAGCTTTATCAAGAGCTGTTGGCAACTGTGATCCCGGAGATGATTATTATAAATCGTGGCGTATTGGTGGACGTAAGTTGAGCCGTTTCTTTAGTGATACAGATAGAGATGATCTCTTGTCTTATTCATCGACTGATTCGATGCAGGGCACTGATGATGAAGTATCAGATGATGAAGTACATGATAATCTGGCTGTTGTAGATGATGATGGTAATATTATACCATCTCCCAAGAAAACACAATTCCTCAATAATCTGAATTCCATAGATACAGAAGATTATAATCAAAGAACAAGAAAGGCAGGTATAGAACAAGCAGCAGGATCGTTTATTTTACAAAATATAGAATCAGAAGAAGAATTCCACACACCGATTTCAAATCCAACACCTACAAAATCTTTAGGTACAGTCGAATCTAATATGCCTCTTCCAATTCAACTTACACCTCCAAAATCTTTAAGTTCTACTGAATCTAGTACACCTCTTCCAAATTTATCACCCCGAAGATCGTTAGGTTCTATTGAATCAAGTGCTACCTTGTCTAATCCCACTAGCGTTGAGGACATCAAACTAACATTAACAGATGAAATAAAGGACCAAACTCTTGAATCCAAACAATTGTGAAAATATCCTTTTTATGTGAGAAAACTTTGTGAAGAGATTGTTCATTCTGGAAAATACCATTTTTGACATATGATCAGGCTTTAGGATTATGTTCACAGATTGAGAAAAATTTATTTTCATGAATTATTATGATTTTTGTTGAAATTCATGGTAGGATAAAATCATTTAATGTCATATTTTACATTTATGTACATTGTATTTACATTTATGTAGATTGCAATTACATCATGTGCATTGTAATAACATTGTATAAATTTGTATCTACTTTGCATAATGTACATTGTATTTACATGTATGTTTATTGTAATGACATCATGGTCAAATGTTGTATTTACTTATGTAGTTACATAATGTACATTGTATTTATATGTATGTTTATTTGTAATTACATAATGTCCATATTATTTACATGTATGTTTACTGTAATTACATAATGCCCATTATAATTACATATATGTTTATTGTAATAACATAAACAATGTATTTACATGTATGTTTATTGTAATTACATCATGTCCATTTTACATCATGGACATTGTATTTTCATTCTATTTTGATAGACATACATGTAATTGGAAATGAGTGAATGAACATTCTAGGTTTTTATATTAAAAAAAACCTCCTGTGATAAACATGTATTTGGTTTGTAAATATTCATTTCTCATAATGACTTGTACATATTGTATACACAGGGTCGGCTTTAAACAAATTCCTCCCATTTGCACCCTGTACTTCAGGGAGGGGGGGGGGGCGCTAGGATGTTTGTTCTAGCCTTGTCAAATAAAACCAATTTGTAGTGTAGGGTTGAAAGTACATTTTTAATAGAAAGTAGGCATTTCTGTTCACTTTTTATGAATCATTTCACTAAAGCCGACATTGTTATCCTGGGAGCCCTCAAGGAATTTTCCAGTTGAGCTCCTTAGCTCCTAAAGGTGGTCCTGTATATACATGTATATATAGAAATGGAATTTATTTATGTTAATAAATTGTGTGCAATTTTAAATAATTTTCTTGGTACATAGAAAACAGACCACAAAATTATTCATCTGGAGCAGTAATGGGATTATAACAATATAATCATGTAAACTGCATCCAGTTACAAAGGTACTATTATTCTCTTCTTACAAGAAGTTTTAAGTTGTAACTGAATTGCTGATATGTATGCCCTAACCCATTAATTTGGAGTTAAAAGATTGTGGTGAGAAATACGGACCACATTTCTCTATGGGATTTTATAAACGTGGTGGGATATTCTACATACATGATTGACAGCAGGGACGTCGTGGACCGCGCCGGCATTCGGGGCAAAAAACGTCTTAGACACCCATCTTTGCACTTAAAAAAAAAGAAAGAATTAAAACGACGCTAACGTGAGTACAGAAACTTGAATGTGGTTCAATTATAGCCTTATTTTTATGTGGTTGTGCAAACGAATGCCAATAAACAAAGCTGCAGCTGCAATCACCGGCAAATAATAATGATGATGGTCCTACACAAAAAAGGTATCGGATTTCGGGCACAATATTTTTCCGACTAGAAGGTAAAATGTACTTTTCCCAGAAAATATACTCTTCAAAAAAAGTAGGGGATATTCAGAAACAATACAAAACTGCGGAAATGCACTGCTGTTTTTATTAGAGGTTACCAGTGTATGTTAATAATTAAGAGACCCGATTTTTCCTACAATCAGGGGCAATAATCCACGAAGTGCCTATCCGATACATGCAAAAATCGAACCCACCCAAATCGGATAAAAATTGTGACCTGCAGAGTTTCCAGAAACAACTATGAACGGAAACTCAAACCAGAGTGACGTTCAAATATAACATGATACACAGCCAAATATTTTTACTTTTGTTTCTATTTTACTTTTCATTTTGATTTTGACTTTGTTTTTCATTTTGATTTCGTTTAAAGAAATTTGGTTATATCCTGAATGATAACGACAGGCCACTATACATAGCTCTACCCTCTCTTCTATATCAGTAACAAATAACACTTTCCAACGCCTTCTTTTCATTTAATTTAAACGACAATCTGTCATGTTACCACTTCCTCTTTTCCGTACAACATATCATTTATAGTTCTAAATGTAGGCCTACTTCCACCGAACTCTGACTTTCTTCACTTTCACTTTGGATCAATTCTTCGCTATGACTTGGTCGCAGAGAATGGCGTTGGATGTAGCCGTATGGGTCGTCATTTAAATAACCTAAACGATGTAACCATTTCTTCCATATCGCTTTATAACCTACACGATTACATAGCTCAAAATTTCGCGGCACACATTTTATTGGACATATCTGTGGAGAAAAAATATAAGAAATATGACTTAAAATATGTTGACACTTATTCGAATGCTTTTCTTTATATTATGGTAGGAATATATTTTACAATACCGGCCCTGAATTCTGAATTATATGGTGGCTAAATAGTGGCCATGTAAAATCTTGCACCTATGGCGAAAATACAACAAAGATAACGTCGCTTGATTGTTGTCGTAACGTTGGGTTGTCTTTGGATGCATAATGTTGTAGCACTATAATAGGAATTGAAGACACTGAATAAACAAATATGCATAATGCTGTTAGATGTCGTGAATCCCGCTCCATACTATAGTTATAATAACGACACAACGTCAGATGAACGCAGAGTCAATTACATTTAACTTGTTAAGTGCACTACATTAAATCCCGGACTTGAATATGTAATATGTAATTTAAGATATAAATCAAAAAAATAAAGCAACACCCAACTGTGGTACAAATTTCTATTGATTTCACAGCTCTATATTTAAAGGACAATAATGGTGTCAGCCATTATCACGTATGTGATAGAACTGGTTAAACACGTTCCAAATATAATTTTAACAGAGATCATTGCTACGATGGATGCGTAACGAAGATTTCAAGAAACGGAAGTGACGACAGGAAAAGGAAAACACGACTTATCCTTCTATATAACTGACTGAAGTAACAGATAGCCGGAGAGAATCTCTGCCCACAGATAATTCCTTCGAAGACAAAAAATTGTTATATGAGACTGTGAGAGGATATCTGACAATTCAAACAAATAATTGAATGTTACTAGATCAGAGAAAACGAGAAAAATAGAAAAAGCTCGTACATTCCCTTGTTTTTATTGTCCCCCGCCCTTCGAATTAAGCTAGAATGTTCACACTAAGCGCAGGTGTTTATTAGGTGAATGCCGTGGTGGAGTTTGAAGATGGCCTGCTTACGGTAAGCAGAGATAAGCAATCTGATTGGTTGATGCTTTGGGGCACGATAACTTTGTTTTTATTAATTAAGTGAGAGTGATGAAACTCCGAATATAGATTCATTCTATCATTACCTTGACTAAGTTCGATGATGAGAATTTTCTGCTTAGGCTAAGGTGCGTTAAACAATTTGATTGGTCAACACTTTGTAACATAACTCTGCTTTTAATTGAAATAGAATGCTTAAACTTGATGTAGATGTTCATTAGGTGAATGTCTTGGCTGAGTTCAATGATTAACATTTCGAGCTAAAGCCAAGCAAAGCTAAGCAATTTCATTGGTCGATGCTTTAGGACAAGATAACTTTGATTCTATCTGATAAAGAGTGGTGAAACTTAGTGTATAGTTGATAATCCGTTTGATTGCTTGATACTTTTGAAAAAGATAAATGTGCGATTATTTAATATGTGTCATCTATTTTGGGGGGGATTTCGGCGGGGGACATCAGCCTCGCTGTTGGCGTGTTCATTCTATACTTAATAAAAACATGGTAATGCATGGACTTTTTCTATTTCTACCGTTTTCTCTTCTCTAGTGACAGTCAATTCTTTTTATAAATTAACGTCCTACTGTTCTGCTCCTACTGGGCTAATGAAGCCGGGCATACGCCATACAGTGTGCGGGTAGCGGCACTGTGGCGTCTATAGCTTATATCGAAATCCAACTGCCAAAGGATTTTTTATGTGAGTACACAGAACCTAGGTTTTTCGTCCCATTCGAACAACTAGACAGGTGTCCTTGTCCGTCCTACACCACTGACAGGAGGGAAACCGCGCCGGAAAACCCCGATGAACTTTCACGGCCAATGCAGGGATCGAACACGCGACCTTCAGAGCCAACGTTGCCCCGTGCACTCTTCGTTAGACATCTATCATAGCAATTATCTCTGTGTTATAGTTATAATTTGAAACGTGTTTAACCAGTTCTATCGCATATGTGATAATGGCTGACACCAATATTGTCCTTTACTTTAAGTGTCTTCCAAAAAGTAATATATTTTTCAGAACATTTTGGATTACATAATAAAACATTCTTTACAATAAAATTTTTAATAGCATAGTGCATATTTTTCACGTTTTAGATTTGTGAACAATCTATTCAGATCATTAATGATAGTTTAAGATGTATAGCATAACTTACACGTAAAATATACTCATCTGGAACATGTGAAATATTTACACATTCTAAAGGCACCAGCCATTTAATTTCTAATCCTTCAATACTCAGATCGCGATTGAAATCATAGATAAGTGTGTGGTCATCCTGGTAGCTGATGATCTTATAGGTTCCCATTATAAGTGAATCTGGTGTAAGTCCCAGGCTAACGATTCGTATTCCTTCACCTAGCTTATCTAATTCCACAAACACTGATTCTATTAGAACTACATCCTCCATGTACGAATATTCATCGGTAAAGAGCAGTTTTTGTATCGGTCCAGGTTCCATGAACTATGCACAATATTTTTTTGTCTCATCGATAAAAATAATGAAAAATAGATTCTATAGGGATAAACATAAAACGTCATAATTATTCAATTTTCATGACGTCATGACATTCTTTGATAGCAGATAATTACGGTAATTAATGCTGGAGGACCACATTACACTCAAACAAAACCGAAAAGAAAAACCTGAGGACAAGACACAAATTACACAGACATTGCAAGCATTAGACAACAAATATATCAAGTGATTGGACCAGGGAGGCCAGCCGTAACACTAACCCTGCTGTACGGGAGATACTAGTTACTTTAGTAACGAAGTCTAGGGGTCTCTAAGACTTCGTTACTAAAGTAACTAGGGACCCCCTAGACTTCGTTACTAAAGTAACTAGGGAGATACTAACTGTAGGCCGGTCGTTGAGGTTTGGGAATTTCCGGAGTCCACAATGGCCGCTTTATATAGATGACTCTAAACTAACCCTTTTAAAAGGGGTAAAAGATTAGGTGGATCCGAGTTCACTACCAGGACCACTAGCCAACTTTGTATATATATATAGAGAGAAATGGGGTTTAACGGCCACTCGACACAAACTAGGTCATTTCGGGACTAACATATGGTTTAATTTTATTTCTAAAGGCACCAGCCATTTAATTTCTAATCCTTCAATACTCAGATCGCGATTGAAATCATAGATAAGTGTGTGGTCATCCTGGTAGCTGATGATCTTATAGGTTCCCATTATAAGTGAATCTGGTGTAAGTCCCAGGCTAACGATTCGTATTCCTTCACCTAGCTTATCTAATTCCACAAACACTGATTCTATTAGAACTACATCCTCCATGTACGAATATTCATCGGTAAAGAGCAGTTTTTGTATCGGTCCAGGTTCCATGAACTATGCACAATATTTTTTTGTCTCATCGATAAAAATAATGAAAAATAGATTCTATAGGGATAAACATAAAACGTCATAATTATTCAATTTTCATGACGTCATGACATTCTTTGATAGCAGATAATTACGGTAATTAATGCTGGAGGACCACATTACACTCAAACAAAACCGAAAAGAAAAACCTGAGGACAAGACACAAATTACACAGACATTGCAAGCATTAGACAACAAATATATCAAGTGATTGGACCAGGGAGGCCAGCCGTAACACTAACCCTGCTGTACGGGAGATACTAGTTACTTTAGTAACGAAGTCTAGGGGTCTCTAAGACTTCGTTACTAAAGTAACTAGGGACCCCCTAGACTTCGTTACTAAAGTAACTAGGGAGATA